AGGGAGTGGGACATGTTATTAAAAAACACAGGGCTTCTGCAATAACAGAAATTGTGTCTTCCCATCACCAGTAAACATATTACACTGCAGGAAAACTCACCTGATGGGTCTTGACTGTATGTATCAGGATTAATAAGATCTATCGTCACTCCTAAATCATGCTCCGTCAGTAACTCATGTTTGTATGACCTCTCCAAAGAAGTAGCATTGTACTGGACAAAGCGATTGGGCTCAAATGGGTATGTAATGAACTTAGGATCAAACGGGATATCGGGTAAATGATTACAGTACTTCACTCGACAGACTAAGTCGGACCTACCAGAAAAATTAAATCAAGTTGTCAGTATATGGGAAGAGATTTCCCTTGGAGATGAAAGGAATAGTTTATAAGAGTTGTGTGAGATCAGCATTGCTGTATGGGAGCGAGATATGGTGTTTGAGTGAAAATGAGTTGGGTATTTTAAGGAGGACAGAGAGAGCAATGGTGAGAGTGATGTGTGGGGTGAAGTTGATGGACAGAAAGTTAACTGAGGACTTGATGCAGATGTTGGGTTTGAAGGAAGCGGTAGATCAGTTGGCGAAGGCAAATGGGGTACGTTGGTATGGGCATGTGCTGAGGAGGGAGGATGGGCATGTATTAAGATGGGCCCTTGATTTAGAGGTGAGTGGTCCAAGGAAAAGGGGAAGGCCAAAGAAGACGTGGAAGATGCAAGTGGAGGAGGAGAGTGGGAAGGTTGGGATGAGGATGAGGGATGCTTTAAATCGTGCAAAGTGGAGGGAGGGGGTAAGAGCGATTGCCACTAGTTTAAGGTGAATCCGGCCCCCCTCGTCTTCGGGGACCAAACCGGATTTAAAACTCTGGACTACTACTACTAGTACATGACAGAAGCAATGATGAACTGGAAATAGAAACATGTCAACAAATAAAAACAATCATCGATATTAATCATAAAATTTTTATCATGTTACACATTATTCGTATTTAATTTCTGTAAGATGGATCTTTCAAATATGATCAAAGACACATTTACTCAATCACATAAGCTACTAATACATTTTATGATTCACTGCATTGCAAGTGCAGAGAAACTCAAAACTTAATATTAGAATATCTGACTCTTACCTTCCTGGACCAGTAGCACGGGGTCTGAAAAAAAAAATTTGAATTTGAAAATGAATTTTGGAAAACAAAATTATGCTGTTGAAAAAAGTAACATAGCTTCCATAATTTGTTAACTGACGTGAAATGGTGAGCCCAAATGAGAGACGATCAATTCGTCCCAAATCACATCTGTTCCAAGTCTTTTTTTTTTTCCAACAGTTCACATATAATCGACCAAGGTTATCTGAAAGTGTCTGGTACAAAGCCCCTTCAGATCATTCAAATACTTTGTTTTTCTACAGGAACGAAGCAGTCCATTGCCTACTCATCTCTAAAAATCAGGAGCCCTTTTGTTGCATAAAATAAATAAGCGAACACGATGACCAGAGTTCTCGGATATATTTGAACATGAAAATAAAATATGAAAGTTACAGCCAAAGTTACATCCGAATATTCATCACGTGAACAATACCCTATTAATATTCCTTGCGAAAGTATGCAAGTAATAACTATTTATAGTTAATATCATGATTGACAGCCAACGCGTAAATGTACAACTAATAATTTGGCAATAAAATGTAAGTGACAAGTTGCAAATAGTGAAATGCTCAAAAGTAATGAAAGTTATATGCGAGTATTCATCTCCAAGTACAGTGAAACTAGAGTGGGAAACACACAACTGGCAGTCAATGCCATCTCTTGGCAATAATTCATAGAATTGATACAAATACAAATACACCATACACACAACACACAACACAGAGTTATTAGTTAAAGTGGGAGGGTCGTCACCTGTGCATGCGTGGGAATTGAGTACCAAGCGATGATAATAACACACGCTAAAAACATGGGTAGATGCTTGTTTGTAAACAATGACACGCTATGGACATCTGACGTATGCGCAGTATGCCATACTTGCAATGCATGAATTATTAGAACTAAATACAAAAACGCTGATGTATAAGTATGGTGGTGCTGGGTAGTCACATTTCATGGTATTTAGCAAGCGTGTCAGTAACTATACACAGTTGATTGCAACTCTTTGCACACAAACATAGAAATAGACATCACTCTGCCCAAGATCATAATGCTGACCAAAAAATGGGATAAATGTGAATGGGGACGAATGTGAATGGAGACGAATGTGAATTAGGACAAATGTGAATCGACTTGTGGGGCAAATGTGAATTGGGAGGAATCGACTTGTGGCCCGCGAATGTGAATTGGGACGAATCAACTTGTGCGACGAATGTGAATTAAGACAAATGTGAATGGGAACGAATCAACTTGTGCAACGAATGTGAATTAAGACGAATGTGAATGGGGACGAATCAACTTGTGGGGCGAATATGAATTGGGAGGAATCGACTTGTGGGGCGAATGTGAATTTGTACGAATCGACTTGTGGGGCGAATGTGAATTAAGACGAATGTGAATGGGGACGAATCAACTTGTGGGGCGAATATGAATTGGGAGGAATAGACTTGTGGGGCGAATGTGAATTTGGACGAATCGACTTGTGGGGCGAATGTGAATTGGGACGAATCAACTTGTGCGACGAATGTGAATGGGGACGAATGTGAATGGGGACGAATCAACTTGTGGGGCGAATATGAATTGGGAGGAATCGACTTGTGGGGCGAATGTGAATTGGGACGAATCGACTTGTGGGTAGAATGTGAATTGGGACAAAATGACTGCAGTTGTGATTATTTATTCTATGTTTCGCTTCTTTCAAGGTTTACCCCTTTCCGGGAGAACACTGGTAACCTTGCGAATAGTTTTAATGTAATAGGAAATATTAGAATGCAGTATTGGATAGGCTAGAAGCCTATATGACATTTACTTCAGGTGGTGGTGATGTCAGCCATTTTGATCGCCAAAACCCCGGTACATGACAAGTGTTGTCACACTTCCAAGAGTGAAACATTTCAATAATCGACATCAGTCATCATCGTATCCTTATTTTAGCAACTATGAAACCCGTATACATCATTTCACCAGCTCCGTGTACATTTAGACTACAGTTAGAATGCGTGTGTCTCAAAGTGTATACAGTCAACTACAATGAAGACCAGGCGATAATTGGAAAACAAACTGAAATAGTCACAAATCTACTTACTTCCTGCCTCGATCATTTCTGTTACCACTCTGTATTGTTGGTGGCATGGTTCAAATAATCTGCAAATCAGCAATAGCTGATTAAACTTGAACTATTTCCTGGTAAGTTATAAAACGCACATCAAAACACGAGTCCAAAGATGGCGAATGCAGTAGCGCAGTGTGAAGTTGACATCCGAATCGGATTGGCATTTTATTGGCATACGACTAGCATCGGATTAGCATTAGATTCAAAATATACCAAAAAAAAATCATTTTCATAATTTTTTGCACATTTAGAGGTAAACTAGAAGTGATCATATTCTTTATTATTGCCAATAAATTAAATATTTGTCACAAATGTGACATAATCTACCATAGCATCTCAGCAAAGTGTATTACTAGTATTCATTTCGGATTCACGCCGTGACTTACGTGAAGCTAACGAAGCCCGATGCTATTTTTAGCGAACGCCAGTGAAGGTGGTGAACGCTATTTGAAAACCGTTATATTAAACTCTCCGTAATATAGGTGAATTATTGAAACCAAATGTTTTCTCCAATACACAGGTCATAATGAGAATAAAAATATTCCGCCAACAAGATCGTTTGGCTTTAGTTAGTTTTTTTGGGTGTGAAACCAATTCAAGTTTACTCAAATAAATTTCGTTTTTATCATTTTGCGGGTAAAATAGTCACAATATGTATGTACTATATGGAGAATATCTTATTTGTGTCTCTACAATGTCAGATTCTTTAAATTCGACTCAATTTGGTTCAACGTTAATGCGTAACAATACACAAGCGCAAAATAAAAAAAATGACGATATTTTAATAAATCGAACAGGTCGCTGAAAACGATATTTTATTTTTCAAGGAAAGACACAGTATCACACAATTGTCATACTTCAGTTATCAGTCCAAATTGGCGTTTCAAATCAGATCAAATCCGAATGATGGGAATATCCACCTAACTGAATGGTTAAAAAAAATAATGCTCTGCGAGAGTCTTTCAGCGGATTCCGGTTTAAATGTTGTGTACACTTTACCAAACGCAATAACAAATATTTGTTTTCAGAAGCTGAACAACATTACTGATAAATTGTATTAATAATAAATAAAAAAAAATTCTTATGGGCAGTGATGACATGTCAAATCGTTTACTCGTTTCATACGTATACAACATAGACATTGTTTCACAATATGGAAATAATTTCGTAAAAGGAAAGGTTACAGATGGCACATTCCCATAAACACTTGCCAGCTTGTGGCATAACCATTATCACCGTACCTAATAGAGCGCAATCTATTCACACCAGAGCTCTGCCTAAACATTGAATGAACACCGACTCTATGGACCAGGAAACTGCTAGTTTAACAAGAAAGTTGTTTGTCTGAATACAAGTATGACACCATTCACAATTGTAAACTGAATTACTAGTTAGAGGAATAATTGTATGGCATCGATATAATATATGCACGTAGTTGTCACAGCTTTATAACCCCTATTATCACAATGTCATGTGAAGTGTTCAGCTAAGTGTTTAACTAGTGTTTAGTTATCAGTTACGGAGTGTTTTCAGGTGTCCATTCTGACGATAATTCTGATATTCAATGGCACTGTTGATGATACCATAATCTAGTTAAAACAATGCTAGTATTATAGATGTATAGAAAATGTTTCTTCTATAAGACCCTTAAAGTACATTAAAACTTATTTTATGACCTGTGCATTTTAGGAAACATTTGGCTTCAATAATTATTTAAATTGACCAAACTTTCAGAGAGTTATACCGACTTTCGAATAGCGTTCACTAGCTTCACCATCGTTCGCTGAAAAGAAAGCTGATACGCCGGCGGTTCTGTCAAACAGAGGCGCGGAACGTTTGTTTATTCCCGTTGAGCTGTCGGTTTTGCCGTAATCAACCGTTTTGGACAGAAAGCCTGCGAGATTTTTCAGATTTGTGTTTTGCCTATTCTAATTTTCGGTAAAATAGTATATTATATTAATAATTCGAAGAGAACACAGTGAGTTTTGTCTTATATAAATTTAATTATTGTCATCGAAAGTTGGCATTCGCTCCCTGGTTTCATACTCTTTCTCTGAAAGGTGGCGGAAAAAACACAGACATAATATAATAAGTGAAATCGTTTTTGATAATATTTATTTTGTTTACAGAATTACTGTATCATACTATCAAGCGCCCGTGACTATGACTACATTTTCTTTCAAACCATTGCCATTGTCTTTGTGACGAGTTCGTTCATAGAACGCGCGCGTACATAAGTACACAATGCGCATTCGAACGTCACAATCCCACATCACGTGTCTTCATTATAATGTGGAATCTTTCATTATTCTTCCAGTATTAGTTTGTCAAACAGTGCGATCTCCTCTTGTCCATCAGTTTTGTGTATTTAGGTAAGTTTTACAATTTTTTTCTTCAAAAAGTGAGGAATGCAGATATTTGACAAAGTTTTGTCGTGCCATACATTTGTCCGTAGCAAATAACTGTTCGATACGACAAATAACTGACAAATAAAATGATGAAAGCAATTATCATGTATGACTTCGTTATAACGAATGAGCTCTTACTTTTTTTCCAGGTTTGTTCCGTTAAACATTACATTCTCTTGTGTATAATCGCTCTCAAGTTGTATTTTCTAGGTGAGTTGTTCAACTTATTTCCATCATGCAATAACTACGATGGTTTTAGATGTTTATAATATCAATAGTTTTTGCTTCTACAATCAAGGAGAAGGTTTTTTTTTTGACGCTACCATACTTACCCTGTATCTTTGTAACTACCCTTCGTGTCTAAAATATAACTTTTCATCATTATAACATTAGTCTCAATACAAATGCACATATCTTTTTTGCCTAACGTATAGATAATATTTCGTTAATTCGGCCATGTTTTTTTTTACTCTCAGTGTTTTCAATATGAAGAAGGTGGCGGCCTTGGTGGCTTCCTTCGCAGTGGCAGTAGGGTGTATGATATGGTACGGCCGAAAAAAGGAGCAAATACCAGTACCAGAACCAGAACCAGTACCAGAACCATCACATGCATCATTAATCACACTGCATAGACTGGTGAGGGTGACTTCTGCCGACAATAGAACAGATTCTGAGAAGGTTGAAATCGCAAAAACCAAAGATTCCGATTTCGGAACGAATGGCGCCATGGATTGTAGTACTACAGAAACAGATGATAGTACTAAAGTTTCCAGTGTAGTGTCCATGCTTGTCAAGCAATTGTCTGTACAAACTGTCTGCACTGGAGCATATCGTGAGAATACAGATAGCTGTACAGACATGTCTTCGTCTAATGTGTAAGTATGCAACATTTTCTCTGCAATTCGTCTATGATCAAGAGTATTAGTATATAAGCGAAAATATTTAATATATTATTAACAGTTATACGTAAATTGTTGGACTCGGACGCAATGTGGATGATCGGTGTTTAAATGTACACGTGTGATTAACAGTGAATAATGCTTGTGACAAGAGATCAAGTCGTATGAATGAAATTGACAATTATGTCTTCTTGTTTCTTTCTATAGTTCTCTGGCTTCCATTGAAGATAGTGGATATGCGGCTTTCCAACATGGTACATATTCATTGTATTTTCCAACCAAGGATGTCGGACGACTTATCGGGAAAGGGGTAAGTTATCATGATACCACACTTTAGAGATGCACCCTGAGATCTTTCATAAAGCTTTTAAGAATAATGGAAATATTATGTAAAACATTTAGTGAATTTACTTGAAATGTGGGAAATATTTGAAGATTTGTGTTTGTTTCGATTTATTGCATACATTTACAACATCAAATACTCTACATACTAGATACAAGGATTATATAAAGGTTTATAAATGATATAAGAATGAAATAAATAAATATATGTGGAATTGGTTGACTTTTCAAAGTGTGCGTGTATTTTTGGTGATTGGTACATTTTTATCAGTTAAATATCATATCGTATGTAATTGGACTTTGAAAACGTGTTCAATCCGAGGATCAAACCGTGAATTTAACACCTCTATGTCTATATACTAGGAGTATGACGGAAAATACGAGAAAGTCTGACATTGTCAATTTGCAGATAGTCGATAGAAGGGAATTTTATTTTTGTGACGTCGATCGGTACACCCAAAAACACATTATCATGAGTGCAAGTTTACGATACACCCCAAATTGCCGTATCTTCGACTTCCGGGAAAGTGGTCTATGGTAACGTCACTGAAGTGCTTCGCCACAAGAGGGCGCAACTTATATGAAAGGTGTACTAAGTATATTGTTGTTTGACGTTTAATTATTGTTTCCGTTTCTAAATCATTCAGGGCCGTAATATTGATTACGCAAACAAAAAATCTGGAGCGACCATCGTTGTGAGGGAAATCTCACCTGGTAACGACTGGCAGATTTGCGACATCACAGGTATGTGTTCAAAAATATGTTCAAAATGAGAATAATAAATGTTGTCTTCTTTTAATACTGCTGTTACACTGCATTCATCCCGTCCATACACGAGATATATTCTCAGTATCACGTGTGTTTAATGATTATTATATCTTATTTATATAATATAGGTTTACCAAGTGAGATTGACATTGCACTGAATCATATCAAAAGCAAGTTTCCTCACATCGATGTCTCAAGATAAGCTACATTAACTAGGTAAGGTATTGTTTTATTATACAGTAGTAAAGAGTGTAAATATGTAAACAAATAAATATTAGAGATATGCTCGGTGGAATGTTATTAAATTTATGGTGCAATTGCTGAATAAAGAAAATATGGAACAATTGCTAATTTTAGTGTGTGACATTTGTAAAACAATTATTAAATTCTGAACTGTATTGAGATATTGTTAATAACGACATCATATGAATCAATTGCTACAGGCATATGGGACACAATTATTAAATATGAAATAAATTGGTGTGGTATAATTGCTAAGTATATTATAAGACAGCTGTTAATATTTTATTATATTATATCTTACAGTTCGTCAGGAAGACAATGAAATAGCGCCACCGTGCGAGCCATGTTTATACTGACTGGATTTCAGCACGTGTCGAAAAGGGGCAAAGAGATTGTCATCATTGCGTTTCGACAGGAGCGAGACCACACCTGTACCCACTCTGCGCCGAATTAAATCAGTCGACCACCTGTTCATTGTTTTTTTTTTTTTTTTCATTCTTTTAATTGAAACATGTAATAAAACCATTTGAAATATCACAATCATTTGTCTATAAAGTAATGCTCGGTACAAAGTGAGTGCTTCAGGAATCTCCCACAAGAATCTGGTGGGATCATGAGATGTACGTGCATAGAAAACACGTGGCCTTCAAGAGACAATTACGAAAAATCAGCGTTTGGTAACTCAGCCTAGGCCCAAAGAATAAATCCGATGCTGCACAAATATATTTACCGACCTTTTGTGAACAATTTATGTATACGTTTCACATTAAATACATACATTTTTTTAAAATTGCCTATAGTAAGAGTTTCGGTCATTTCGGCGAAATAAAATGAATTCAAGTGACATGTTGGAATCCCGGTTGGTATTCTATAGTAATTTGTGACAAATATATAATTTGATAGCAATAATGAAGAATATGATCAATTCTAGTTTATCTCTGAATGTGCGAAAATTGTTGATTTAAGCATTTTTTATATATTTTAAATCCGATGCCAATCCGATTCTGATGCCAACTTCACGATGCTGGCAGGTCAAACGCAGGCCCTCTAAGTTGTTTGTTATTTTAACATAGTCGCCGGTAATGCTTTAACAGGTAATATCATAGTGATATCACAATAAAAGAAAAAAAACGTATAATTGTGTACTTATTCAATAACTGTATCGGCAATAACCATCGTTAAATGATCGTCGTTAATCTGCAATGAATTTCTTGTTTTTATGCGAGGAAAACCACTTAGGTTAGTAATTGTTTGTAGGTGCCTAACAAAAGCAAGATGGCTGGTGTACAGCAACAACAAATGCAGGGAGTGCAATCAATCCCCGTCCCACAACCCCAACCACAACCCCCGCCACCGGCCCAGTCTCAGCAGCAGCAACAACAACAACAACAGCAGTCATTGGACGACCCTACGTCGAAAGTCAAAATGCTCGTTCCTCATCTCAGAGAAGCTCTTGTGGTGCGTACATAGGCCATATGTACCGGTAGATTAGTTCGTGAACTGTATGACAACTTTTTTTATTCAGCCATTGTGCACATTTGTTTCTCTCTGAATTGTGAGGAAAAAATGACCATGTAATGCCTGTAATTTTTACATTTACAGAATTTGATGAAGATTACTAGTCATAACTTTGCCGCCAATGCTGCCGTAGACAATGCACTGTAAGTCCTGGTCAACTTGTTTTTTTTTTTCTCAAATGAAAACTGTCTGGTCACTGAAATAATTTAGTTTTAATACACCAGCAGTAAAACGAATCTGAATCTACTGATGGAGGAAGCTCCATCAGTGACGCATGGTAGCCCTGAGTCTGTACTCAGTCCTGTAGGTTGGCCTCCTACCACTGATCGTAGGAGGCCAACATACGGGACTGTACTCGGGGCAATGACACATGGCTGGAGCAACGTCAATGACTTGATCGATTGTTAGATCCTCTTTGGATGTTTCCAAGAGATAATTTTATTAAGACGATGTTTTCTTATTGTTGACAGGAAAAGTGAGAGCACTTCCCAGAAGCTTGATAAGAACCTTGAGGAGTTTTACTCAATATGTGACCAAATAGAAGTCAATTTGGTGAGTATGAAAAGTTTAATTATCATTATCTAACCAGCAAAAAGTTTGAGTTTGAATATATTGGTATTCTTGGTTCATATATAGTAGGGAAACTACAAATCCAAGAACACCTAATATTTTACAACCTATATGTACATTATTCGCAATACACAGAAAAGATATTGATATGAAATTATAGGATTTCTAGACACAATAATAACCTACCAACCCATCATCTGCATTAGGACTGCAGTGTAAAAAGGAAAATGATCACTCGGTTTAATTTTAGCGGATTTTTAATTTATTTGATTGAGAAAAAAACAATACATTTTATTGTTGAATTTGAATATTCATGAATTTTAATTTCACGCATTTAGCAGTACATACGTATTTTTTTTTTTTTTTTTTTTTTTTTTAAATATTTTTTGTGCCAGGCGACAGTTCCGGACTTTGAATGTCACTGTTGTCTCTCCTGACTTTTTTTTTTTGTACGTGCAAATTGCACATAGTGCATTTTGCCACAGAAGTCGCATACCGGTACTAGTATATAGAAAACAAAATCGTTCCATATTTCTGTTAAAATCTCAAAATAAATGCTAATAAACCTAAAATTGCCTTTGTATACTGAATCAGTAAAATATTACCTATTTTGATAATAGAAACACCTCTGTAATTTACATAAACACATACACTACTAATAGAACAAATACAGTACCCAGATTACATAGGCATATCTTGTAGATTTTTGAATCAGTTGTGTATGTTTACTTGAAAAGGGCACACAGACTGTTAATTCTCTGCTTTAAACATTTTTCAAGTTCAATAATACATGTAAAGAATCTGTAAACTTGAACAAAATATTGATAAACTCAAAAATCTTTGATCTGGGGGAGATTCGCATTATCGATGTTACCTTTTTCTTTCTCAATATTTATTTACAGAGGCTAGCTAGACAGTATGCAATCCAAGGTGCTGAGAGTGCCCATCACACACCTATCCCAGTGACTGGAATCAAACCTGAACAAGGTCTGGGAGACACAATACAAACCTACAGCCAGTACATCAGTACAGTGAAAACTCAGATAACTTGTGCCAGAGAAATTCATGATGCATTGCTTGAAGGCTGTCGGAAATTGGGAAACCCTACATGATGAAATAAACAATGAAGAAAAGTTTCTTAATTTGCAATGCACACATTCGTTATTGAAGTTGTGACATTCATGGTTTGTGTGTAGTGAGTCAAGACACTCAATGGCTGCTCACAGTAATAGAGGAATATTTTATTTATACAAGCAATTGCCTCTTAAATTCAGCGTTATTGTGTTCAACTAAGTACGTATCATGATGTATACACTGCTACCTACTGGAGCAACCGGAGCAACTGTAAACAATAGTGCCATCCCCACTATCGCCTCCCCCATTTATAACTAATGAATTAAAAATGAAAATTTGTTTTTACACAGTTGTGTAGAAATCCTACTTTTCTCCATCAGAAGTAATCTTCATGTTATAAAATTAATAAACAAGCTCTTTTGCATGTATTGAGAAAGAATTTAATACATAGTGTAATTCAATGCATGTACTGATGACTGCATCTGAGATGGAGCGATCACTTACCGACTTTGCAATGCTAGTCGTCTGACTTTAATTCAAATTTAGCGAGCATTAAATGTTTGAAAAACACTATAAAATACTTTATTGACTCCCGTGTGCGAAGCACAAAAGGGAGTCTTTGCAGTTGCCCTGTCTGTATGTCTGTCTGTCTGTCTGTCTGTCTGTCTGTCTGTCTGTCTGTATGTCTGTATGTATGTATGTCACTTTTTTTTGTTCCACCGTTATCTCAAGAACCACGAATCAAATTTTGGTGAAACTTGGTACATAGATGCTCTGGGATAATGCGCAGAGTTGATTAGGTTTTGGTAAAAATCTATGAATATTAATTACCTAATTTGCATGATAATTCGCTGATTTTTAGCTGTTCTATGACTGTTCCACTGATTTTTGAAGAACCACTCATTGGATTTCAATGAAACTTGGCACATGGATGCTCTGAACTAATGCGCAGATTTAATTAGTTTTGGGTAAAAATCTGTTAATATTATTAATTACCTAATTTGCATAATGATCAATTTTCGGCTTTTTCACTGATATCTCAAGTACTAATCATAACATTTCAATAAAACTTGGTACATAGATGTCATATGATACTGCACAGACCTGATAGTTTTAGGGTAATTAATTACCTAATTTGCATAATTAATTAATGTTCAGCTTTTGATATTTCGAAGTAGTTAATGATCACATTTCAATGAAACTTGGTACATTGTTACTTGAGGACTATGCAGAGACCTAATTAGTTTTGGGTAAATATTTGTGCATATTAATCACCTTATTAGCATAATTAGTTAATTTTCAGCTTTTCACCTGATATCTCAAGTACTAATCGCGACATAGATTTTCTAGGACTATGCAGAGACCTGATTAATTTTAGGATAAATAATTTTACCTATTAATTACCTAATTTGCATAATTAGTTATTATTTTGCTGTTCTATGGCTGTTGCACTGATGTCTAAAAACCACTCATTGGATTTCAGTGAAACTTTTAAAGAGTACTCGTCACATTTCAATGAACCTAGGACTATACCCCATATTGGTTTTTGGTAAATATTTATGCTTCTTAATTAACATAATTAATTAATACTGATATCTCAAGTATTGATCATCACATTTGAATAAAACTTACATAAATGCTCAAAGACAATAGACAGCCTGATTAATTTGGGGTTAAAATCTGTTCATATTAATTCTCTAATTATCATCATAATAATTAATATTTTCTTGGTTCTAATCACATTTCAATGAAACTTGGTACATTGTGCAGACCTTATTAGTTTTACACTTAAATCTGTTCATATTAGTTACTTTATTTGCATAATTAGTTTTCTACGTTTCCTTCAACATCTCAAGTTCAAGTAATTTGAATTAATTTTTAATGTGTCTTCAATACTCTCAGCACACGGGAGTTCTTTCTAAGCTTTCTTTGATTTTAGCTGAAATTAATTTTCGCTGAAAAGACTATGGGTGTTTTGTATTAAATTTATTTTCATTGGTTATTGACAAGTTTAATGCAAAATATAGGAAAAGGTGTATATTCACTGGATTTTATTTTCAATGAATCATTCCTTCAGTGAAAATTAATTCCAAGCGAAAATAAAGTATTTTACAGTAATTCATAATTCATATCAATTGATTTTGTATATTTGATGACCTCTACTTGCCTTGAATGACAATCCGCTTAAAACTGAACATTTACGAGACTTTTAATCCCCCCCCCCCCGAACCTCTGTAAGTGACAGGTCAACAGGTCTATTTTCTACTTTGCACGTGGTCAGCTTGGAAGACATTTATGGTAATTTTATCAATTTATTAACTATCAACCAGGGGATGCATAAGAACATGGTCCCAATCCCAACTTTTCAATCACTTTTTATCATAACTGTGCCCATGGTGACCGATTACAGCCACTTTTTGCGGATGACGGATATGCCCAACTTTTATCTAAATTTTTTCTTCTGCAAATATTCAATCTTCAAGGCTATTTTTATTTTTTCAACATGCATTTTTGACATCACTATGACGATAACACGCGTATTGATGTTGATCATTTGAATTTGTGTAAAAAAAAATAGAAAAAATAGTTTTGCCATCTGGTTTCCAATGCAGGTACTGACCATGCCTAACTTTTGAGATAGGGCACACTGTTTGTTCCCATGATATTATCGATATTATAAAATATCATCATATATTTATTAAAAAAATTTGACCGTACATTATTTAAAGGTACAACAGATGAGTATAGACGAGTTCACATGGAAAGTATCATGCGAGTACTGGTGAGAATTTTATTTTATCTACACACGTCTGATACTCAGTAATGTATTTATATGAATGAATTATATGATAATTCAGTTTTATACTACCGGGTACTTAACATAAATTACTATAGCGATCAAATGAGAATATTGCATGTTTGCTATGCCATTGGTTCATAGCTGATTAACAGCTTTTCCCTGTTGATTACGGATTTTCATCATGACCGCTTTGTTGATGGATATACACCAACAGAATTTAATTTAGTATCGTATTTTTTAATTGAACCTTGGTTTTAGTTCACTTGAAATACTATTGCAGTAAACCATTAATTGATGTAGCCAAAAATGCCGAATTTATACTCAAAAACTGCATGTGAACAACGCCATCAACGACCAAATACGTCAAATTTATTTTTTATTGCAACTCAAAAGCGAAACGTTTGTTGATTAATTGATACTAATTTTATCAACATGTATCTATCAATGTAAATCTCGATCTAAAACGTAATATTAAAATTGGCATGTCATCTTGTACGTGAGAAAAAATCGCGAAGTGTGTATTTAAATCAGTTGTGTCAGATTTTAATTAATGCCAATAATGGTGGCCACTGTTCATCCTCTTTTACGTCATGGTGTTTTTTTGAGTTTGTTATAACTCAGAGCAAAACTTGAAATGTGACGCTAAAAGAAAACCTTGTTCAAATTGAATTACAAAACGTATACTAGTATTATCGTTGGTCATCGTAATATTATCATTGAACAAATAATCAGGTCAAAGTTTTTTGATTTAGCCACTTTTTTGTGAAATATCTACGTCCCTTTCTTAATAAACCGCACCTGGTCAGTGTCTTTGTCTGATTCGCTGTAAATTTGCAGACCGAATTTTCCTACCCGTCCTACTATTTTCTACCAGGTTGTTGATTAAAAAAAAATGCTCGACCGCCACATCTAATTTAGTGCACAGAATGAAACGCATCGAGAAGATTAATGGATTATTTTGATCCTTCTAGCGTGTATTAAAAATAGTAAAAGCCCCATAATCCGCGTATTTTCGTTTGATTACATGCAAATCCATGCTACGAGCTTCAAACATAACAGCATTGAAGCACTCTGCAGGGTTTATCGAGCGACCTTAGTTCCTTTATTCGCTTGTGTACGGATATGTAAATGAGGGTTTCGTTCAAGACGTCATATGCCGTATGACTTCTATTACCAGTAACGTCTAGATCAAATGACCCCACTCCACGCTTTATAAAAAGGAACAGCCATGTTATGGTAAGTCGCATTACTTACTTAGAAACGAGGTTTTGTCGGATTGATGGTATGTTCTGAGACGAAGTACAACCAACTAACGTATGCGTGCAGTGATCAGCCACTCGAGTTGTGTTTATATTCGTGTGGCCATTTGGGTGTGGCTGTGTAATGTATTAAACGTCCCATATTGTTTTGGTGTTTCTCGGTCACCGTCAGTGTCGGCTCCTTACAGGAACCAAATATGATTGCTATTGTCGGTTTAACTATGGACCTACATGGATATGTGTGTCCATTTTGTACAGACGATCGCCGCAGCGATGGTATGACGTGTTTAGAGGCACAGAGAGCCTCGACCAAGTTATGTGAGAATGATATGTACACCCGGTGAGATGACAGTCAAGGAACGTCGTCACAATAGACGGCAGATCGAGTTTATTGATAAACCGCGACTTGAAATGTGTATACCGCTGTCCCTCAACACCTGTGACTGTGCGCTGGCAAAGAAAAGTTTCACTGTTTTAGGAACAAATCTTGCATTATTTACAGCAGCAGAATATCACAGAAATATCAGGCGAAACATGGAAACAGTATATATTGTATTTTGGCCTGAACCCTCTCTATTGAAATTCCAGGAATTACCCCCATATGTGCAACCATTTTTCACTTTGGTATCACCCACACCTGAAAACAAACTCTTAATACCACGCTGAAGCGTTTGGTAATCACGCTGGTTAAAATACCGGTAGATCTTGTCTCAATCTGCTATAAGGGGGAAATTCTTCTGCCTCGGGTTTCCACACGTGTCAGGGGGGAATCTCGTCTCGTCCCTATATCGCGTCCCCTTGAGGTACGGATCGGGGAAGTCACTTAAGCCTTACAGTCAAATAAGACACACACAACGAAATACGTTTCAACTCTCGTCTTAGTCGATCAGTCGAGCACTCTATAAGACACAGCGCCCTGGGGAAAAATCCCCAAGACTATCGCAAGGCTGAAACTCGCCCAAGACTGGACTGCCTCAAGGCTCGCCCCAGGACTGGACTCTCGACTGCGTCTGTCGTGGAGTATTCGCCAAGACTAACTCAAACTCTCTTTATTCATTTTCAAAACATTAACCAATTACAAAGCAGTAAAAAGACTCTAAGGCGTAACTTTCAATCATAAAGCCAATCACACAAAGTACTGAATACGTCATATCTTTTGATTAATCGTTCACTATATTAATAACTACGGATACCAACTGTCAGAATTAATAGTCAGAATAGCGACGGTTATCTCGTAATTAGTTCCAAATCACTGAGCCAAGTTCCGTCCAAAACCTCAAATAGGCCTAAACGATGACAGACATAACACAGCAATTCGGTAATAATCAGTTAATAAAGTCGGTCAACAGATACGCGAAAACAAATTCATGACACATCCCTTCACCCAAACTGAGATTATGCCTACCGGCATAACACGTTCATAAATCAAAGATACCGTCATCTACTCATCGTCATACGGTTAAATACAATACTAATAAAGGT